CCGTAAGGATTTACACCCTCGGAAACCCTGTACAGGGTCGCTGTGGGTCGGCTCCGACTCAAAGGCACTTAACAACAACAACAACAGCCTGTGTTTTGGAATCCTGGTGTGGCACTGTGGGTTAATGCACTTGACTACAAAGTCAGTTTGAACTGCAAGGTCGGCAGCTCAAGCTCACCAGCCACTCCTTGGAAACACTACACAGGGTCGCTGTGGGTCAGAACTGACTCGATGGCACTTAGCAATAACAACAAACATGTACTTTATTGTTTTTACTTTGAATATAAAGGAAATCTAGATTATTTAGATTATTTCTCCTATATTCAATACCTATTTATTAATATTTATTTATTAATATTGAGTGATGTTGGGTGACTCAGATATTTTTACCGAATTCAAGGTATCATCCATATAATGGTAGCGGAATTGTTTGGAGTTAAATGACAGTACAATCCTGACAGTCATTTGCATCTTCAGTTTTATGTAGGGGCATGCCTTCTCCCTTGTCCCGTAGCACTCTCTGCATAGATCTCTTATGTTGAGCTCAGTGTTTTGCTACCCTATGATTAAAGCCCTTGGGGACTGAATCTAACACAAATGCCGTTGAGTACCTCTCTACCCCAGAAAAGCCCCAGTTGTTTTTCATTGATTCCAACTTACAGTGACCTCATGTGGTACAGAGTAGAATTGAGCTTCATAGAGTTTTCATGGCTGTAATCTTTACAGAAGCCAATCTCCAGGCTGTTTTCCCATGAAGCTGACTGGTGGGGTCAAGCTGACAAACTCCCCCCCACTTAAACATTTTATATGCTTTAGGTCACGGATGGGGAGGCTTTTATCCTGCCAAAATTTGTAACTTCATTCAGAGGCCACACAAAATTATCCACTTAAAAATTAGCCTACAATATTTGGTCAGACATTGAATTAACTCACCCTGAATGTGATGATTAGAACTGCAGTTGCCTTGGCAGAGGCAGACCAAATGATTTTGTGGGCCTTAAAAACAATATACAGGGTCATTATGGGTCTGCACTTGGCAACTACAGCATAGGTCTGGGGACCGGACTTTCCCCACCTGCACTTTAGATGAAAGTTTATGTAGCAAATTAGTTTTCCAGTCAATAGTTCATACATACATGTTCTGTGATACTGATTGCAGTTCACACTACGTGCCATCATTCTCCCCGTTTCCTCCCCGGCTTCCCCATTTCCATTCATCTGCTTTTCCTGTCCCTCTCTGTCTTCTCATCTTTGGTTTTGGGCAAATGTTGTCCTTTTGATCTTGTATAGTTGATTGTTCTGAGGCACATTCTTCACATTGGTTGTTTCATAGTCCCATCTATTATTGACTGAAAGGTGGCCTCTGAGAGTGTCTTCAGTTTTAAGTTGTAGTGTTTTTTCAGGGTGGTCGTCTTGGGGGTTCCTCTAGTCTCTTTCCTACAAGTTAACTCTGGTCTTTTTTTTGGCTTTGAATTTTGGTTTACATTTTTTATGCATTCTGAATAGGATTTTCTCTGTTGATCTAGGTCAGAGTGGTTGGTGGTGGTAACCAGGCACCTCCTCTAGTTCTGGTCTCAGGTTAGAAAAGGTTGTGGTTCATGTGGCCCATTAGTCCGTTGGATGAATTGCTTCCCTGAGTTTTCTTTCTTTCTCTTTTTTTTTCTTCTAAGCTCCAGATGCTTCTTAGGTGACTGCTTGCAAGTTTTAAGACCCCAGATGCTACTCATCAGACTAGGGTGTAGAACATTATCTTTATGAGCTGCATTTTGCATGTTCTCAAGTGGTTTAGTCCTGATGCCTAAGTAGTTTCTATAACTGTGCACACAATATGCTCTATTACGTATATGAGTACATGTTCAACATTTGCAAATATGTATGTAGAAATATCCACCACCATCTCTTTTCATATATGCAGGTGGACTCCATCCTGGGGTGATGCTATGGGTTAATGTGCTGGACTGCAAAGCCAGTTTGAACTGCAAGCTCACCAGTCACTCATTGGAAACCCTACATAGGGTCACTATGGGTCAGAACTGACTTGACACTCACTTAACAACAACTCAATCTATTTAGCACACCTATTTACCTATGAATTGACTCCATGTCATAGCATTTACTGTTTGTTGTTATGTGCTGTTGAGTCAGAGTCCGTTTAAACCGACCTTTTGCAGTCTAGTACATTATCCTGCAGCACTACACCAGGACTACATTTACCGTAGACACTTCTCAGTTCTTCTTTTCCCTTGTTCCCATATTGTGTATTGCCTTTCTGTTCATTAAACTCATTCAACGAGTGGATGACCACAAATGATTTAAACAAATGAGTGAGAAAAAGATCTTAATCAGTAATACAGAGTAAATTTTTAGCTGCTCTAAGAAGTACCACTGTATATTGATTAAGAGCCTGGACCTTCTGGATTCAGATCCTGGTACCATAGTTTATTAGCTGTGTGTCCTTATATAATTGTGTATGATATTTATGTATCTCAGCTCCATTTCTTCTTTGCAAAAATGGGGCTTATAAAATGTAGTGCCTCAATCCTGTAGTTGTTGCAAAGATTAAATGAGGCCATATGAGCAAATGTTAGAACATTGCCTAAATATAATAAGTGCTGTGTAAGCATTTGCTACTATTGTTCTTTTTTCTTAGTCCTGCTTTGAAATAGTGGGTGCTCTTTAGAAATTTGCTCTGGAGCTCAGTTTTTCTCCTAACAAAATGAAGACATGCTTTCTCTCCACTTTGGGTTAAGGAGCTCAAGGTATGTGAAGGAGTAGTAGACACCCTCAGTACAGGAAAAAGCTGAAAACAGTGGCATCTTGATTTGTCTCAGGCCGCTGGATGCCATTGAACTGCAAACAGATTTGTGTGTGTGTGTGTGTGTGTGTGTGTATGTTGAAATGGTATCAACTCAGTGTAGTATAACACTTAATATAGGTTCATTCTGATGGATCTCAATTCAGAGAACAAAACAAGTTAATTATTGATAAACCAAGGTGTTTTGGTAAGTACAGTCTTTGACAATAGTGAGTTATGTGGGAAGAGAATGGAAGATTTTTATGATAAATAAAGGGAATAAAGCTGGATTAAAAGATTTTTGAAGTCTCATCTACCTTTAACTTTTTAATGATTCGTATTCTTTGTATTTTTAAAAAGTAGTCTATTGAACATTTCATATGATTCTATGTAGCTGTTGACACCACTTAGGTTTATTTATTTTTCAGCTTTTCCTTCCAACATTTTACTATGATATGAAAATGGCCTAACATATAGCAAAAGTAGGGCGTCCTGGTGTGGCGCTGTGGGTTAATGCTCTAAACTGCATAGTCGGTTTGAACTGCAAGGTTGGTGGTTCAAGCTCACCATTCGCTCCTTGGAAACCCTATAGAGGGTTGCTTTGGGTCAGAACTGACTCGACGACGCTTAAACAACATAGCAAAAGTAGAGGCTTTTACAGGAAACGCTCATATGCCTAACATTCAGATTCTATCATTAGTGTTTGATATACTTGCTTTATCATTTATCTATATATTTAATTCATTCCCCTATCCATCCCTGAGTCAATTTTACATTTTATATGTCTGGTAAAGTTTATTTTGATATGAAAGACAGGAGAAATCAATGTTTTATTCTCAGACCCCAGGATACTAATTGTGGTGTTTGAATATATGAATCAAAAGAGTTGCAGAGTAAGAATTGCCCTGAATGTTAAGATTCTTAAAAGTCAAGGTGGGCTTAGGGAAAGAAAAGTGTAGGTGAGAAAGTAAGCCCGTGAGAAAATACTCCCATACAAAAGAACTCATCAAAATAGTCATTTTGTTGTATTAGCTGTTTTAGTTTCACTTCGCAAACTATGCAGCTCAGTTGTTACTGTTTCCAGTGAATGGCAACATTTATGAAGCACAAAAAGAAACTTGTGTTGAAGTTTAAAGAAACTTCGGTGGGCTGAAGGTTAACAACTTCATACACACACATGTCTAGCTAAGGGGTTTGTGTCATCTTTACTTTCTCTGGACAAGTCGTTGAATCTAATTGCTTGGTTTTTCTATTTACCACTAGTGTAGAATCTGTAACACTAGTTCTTTTGGCATTCTTCCAGCAACTCCAAACAGCATGAATAGGTCACAGGGCAAAAATCTTGATTATGATTCAAAAAGAAGGCGTAGTCACATTGTCTTCACGAACTAAGAAAACACCCATTAGGAAGCTGTGCCTCTTTTAGATGGCATGGTTTGGTTGCTCTTTCCTGGCAATGCATGTTTTTTTAGAAATAGCTGCAAAGTTACTAATGATCATTCCTCTCTTCTTTTAGTTCACTTTTTTAACTGAGATGGGCATGATATAATCTCCACTGACTCAAAGAATGGCATCTTGTGCTGTGCCTGCCACCGAAGATGACCAGGCTTCCTTGGGCATCGATGATCTCCAGATTTCATTGCAAGGTAATTAACATTGCGTAGATCAAAAACTGTGGCGACCTTTCATCTATTTACAAATTCTTAATTTCTGCTCTCTTATGGTGGTTTCCATATGTCTGTATTTTCCCCAGTTTTTATTGCTAGTTCAGCTCCCTAGAAAAATAAAGAACACTTGGAAGAAATTACTTATTTTCAATTTTTTACTCTAGCAGTAAAAATTAGTTAGCCATAGTTTGCCTGACATTATTTGCATTTTTGTATCTTTCACATAACCTCTTTTAAAGATACATTCTTATTTTGCCACAGTAGGAAGTAATAGTATTTAAAGGCTCATTGTAAGTGAATGATCTTCTTGCCATGTGTGCATTTATATAGAATAAGTGCTGTTTGTATTTTATTGGAGCTTCTTGGGGAGTTTGGCATACTTGTGTTGATAAAGCATGTCTTGGAGATGGGACAAAGTTAGCTGGTATGGAAGAAATATGGGTATGGCAAGTATTTGATACTATTTCTGAAACTATTTCTAAACATTTTTAGAGTATGGACAGGTTTGTACAGTGTTGTTAGAATATTAATTAAATATCATAGGCTTACAGTCATTTATAAGGAGCTCTGGTAGCATAGTGGTTATGAATCGGGCTGTGAACTGCAAGGTCAGCAGTTCGAAACTACTAGCTGCTCCATGGGAGAAAGATGAGGCTTTCTGCTCCCATAAAGATTTACAACCTTGGAAACCCTGTTCAGGGTCGCTATGAGTCGGAACTGACTCTATGGCACTTAACAACGACAACAGTCATTTATGGTAAGGATGCCAAAGTGACATTCTTTCTGAAATTTTCTCTTTAATTAGAAATGTGTTTTGAATACATTCTTGACTTTGGGATTGAGGTGTAAATTAATAGCTATTGTGGTCGAGTCTAATGTATGTGTCAGGCTTGTAAAATAAATATTATGTCATTTGCATAGAGTAATAAGACATGTAAATAGTTGAGCTGTAATACTTTAGGTAAGGATTTTCATTTTTCAATAAGCAAATCTTTAAAATACATAATATTGATAATTAGCTAGAATCAAATTGAAAAAAAAAAAAAAAAGCCAGAGTTTTGTTTTTCTGTGAAGTTTGGTTGCAAGCGAGTAGTAACTCAGGTAGCCTATAAAATGTGTACTATAGCTCAAGAAATTAGTGTTATCAATAAATAGGCAAATCTGATTTGCATACTAGTACTGCTACTTAGTAATTCTTTGAACCTGGGCCAGGCACTTAATATTCTTGAGTCTCTGTTTTCTCGTCTGTAAAACAGATGTGCTTTGAAGATTAGTAATGCATGACACAGAGCTAACCCACCTTCCTTGAGGAGTCCACTCTGGCTCATTACGATTCTGTGCATGCTTTCAGAAGTTGTACATCTGTTGTTGTTGTTGTTGTTAAGTGCTGTTGAGTCGGTTCTGACCCATAGCGACCCTGAACAGGGTTTCTGAGGCTGTAAATCTTTACCGGAGTAGAAAGCCTCAGCTTTCTCCTGCGGAACAGCTAGTGGCTTCCAACTGCTGACCTTGAGGTTAGCAGACTCAATGGTCCCTGAGTGGTACAAATTGCTTATGTTTTGGGCTGCTAACCAAAAAGTTGAAGGTTCAAGTCCCCTGGAGACTCTGGGAAGAAAGGCCTGTTGGTCCACTTCCAAATAGCACAGCTACGGAAAAGCCGACGGAGCACACTGCTACTCTCACATACAGGGCAACCATGAGTTGGGATCTACTTGGTGGCAACTGGTTTTATTATTTGTTTTCATAGTTAGGATTCAAACCTTTCAGTCAAAGGCCTTCCTGTCCAAGACCATGGAAGTCTGTAGACACTTCATAGTATATAAGAGACTCGTAAACGGAAAGTCTGGATTTTCTGTTTTTTCCCCCTTCTGACATTTCTCTTCAATGGCTTTCCATTGTATGTGGGACAAAGTCTAGATGTCTTGGCGTGGATCATGGGCTCTTTCTGAGCTGGTGCTTACCCTCCTCTCTACCCTCCTTTGTCTGTCGCCCCCCCTCACACACACATTCCCACCAGTCCCAGCCCACAGTCCTCCAAGAGCCCTGCCCCCTCTGCCTGTGTTCACTCTGTTCCCTTTCTGTCACGACTGCCCCTGACGCTCCCCTGAACTGCCTCCTCCTCACTGGACGAAGTCCAGCTCATCCATCCCTCATTTATCCCATGGTTAGCTATTGTCTTAGCTTGAGAGACAAGCTTCTTCCTCTCTTCTCCCGGAGTACCTATATTACCATTTACCTCCTGTATTATATCGCTGCTATTAGTTGCCATTGAGTCTGTTCCAACTTAGGACAATCTTATGTGTAACAGGACAAAAGATTGCCAGTCCCGTGCCAACTTCATGATCTATGAGTCCTGCTTATGTTGAGCCACACTTTAAGTCATGCTTGAGTATGTTTACAAATATTTTCTCAGTTGATCCACATAAACCAATTATGAGGTAGATCTTTTTATCCTCAGTGTACAGAGAAGGAGCTTATTGGCTCAGAAAGTCTGAATTACAGTCCATCTCTGTATCCACGGGTTGCACATCCACAGATTCAACCAACTGTGGATTGAAAATATTTGAAGGGACATGGGGAAATCTCCTAAAGAGCAGTTGGACTTTTGGTGTGATGTTGTAGGATCAGCACTGGACTGTGAACCACAGGTCAGCAGTTCAAACCCACCACCTGCTCTGTGGTCCCTATGAGTTGGAACCAACTGGACTGCACTTAACAACAACAACAAAAAGCAGTTAAGTGGTCAATGCAATCTCTTAAAGGGCAAAATGAAGTATCATAGCATTTACATTATGTCTGTGTTAGGTATTATAAGTACTCTGTCCTTGTTAAGTGCAGTAGAGTCAGTTCTGACTCATAGCGACCCTGTATAGGGTTTCCAAGGTGCGGCTAGTGATCTTGGAACTACCGACCTTTCAGTTCAAACTGACCTTGCAGTCCAGTGCATTAACCCACAGCGCCACACCAGGACTCCCTAAATTAATCTAGAACTGATTTAACTGTACTGGAGGATGTGCATTGTTTATAAGAGACTTGAATATTGGTGGACTTTGGTAGTCAGGGAGGGGGCCTCCTGGAATCCATCTCCCACAGATACTGAGAGCCACTGTACTTTCCTAGGGTCCTATGGCTAGTGAACAGCAGAGCTGGGCTTTCACTTGGAGCAGAGTTTTCCCTTCCCTGTACTACACTCCCCTAATTCATTTTAAAGACCAACTTGAAAAAGAGGATTTCCTCTTTCAACTGTCTGTGAAATATCCATTTAAGTCTTAGCCTTATTCTATTAAATTCTGAGCAAACTTTATATCCAGAATATGGATGGGCACCTCTGGTTCACAAGTAGCTCAAAATAATTAGCAAATTGCTGAGAAATTAGCAGTTTCTTATGATGCATTTTGAATTATACAAGGTTGAACAGTCTGCTTTACAGTAGAAAACTAGTCTGGGCTGTTTAACAATGGAAATGTGATATACACACACTAGCTAGTCTGAATGATTTACCTTCATGATATAGAGAATCGTGGTGCTTAATGTATTTCTCTTAGGGGGAGAGGCCGAAAGCCCATACTGTGATGTTACCAACTTTACCCTGACAAGGTGTGCTCACATTAGGCCCAGTCCTTTCTGGGATATTAACTCAGAAGTTCCCATGACTATAGAATGAAGGCTTAACTGTGAAATGAATAGATTTCCCAAAATTAGGTTCCATATTATTATTATTATCAGACGTAAAGTGATTCTTTCAGCTCAAGGCTCTGAAGGAAATAAAGGAGGGAGGGCAAGGGGAAGGGCAAGAGAGAAGGTAGGAAGGAAGAATGGAAGGACAGACGGACTTGTATAGTATACTTCTCAAAGCAACTTTAATTTCATGGCAGGATTGTTAGGTGTTTGGACAAAAATTGATAGATAATATTATATACACTTATATGTTATACTACTGAACTACACGTTATTGGTATTAGTCTTAAAAGCATTGGGCTTTGTACACTTTGTAAGCCAACTTGAATTTCACAGAATTCACATGTGCTTTGTGATCCTTGGAGTAGTATGAGAAAAGATTTTGTGTAATATGAGAGCCTCATGATCATCATTAATAAGAAAGATTTTGTTATTGTTTCAGCACTTTATATTAAGGGCAGGTAGAGGCAGTAGAACTGCATAACTTGTAACACCTCCTTTATTTAGCAAACACTTATCTAAGTGAGACAACCGCAGCCACACCCTGACTCAGAATAATACACTCAAGGAAAGACGGAATGGTCTCAGTTAAAGTGTGGTGAGTCATCATTGATATGTTCTGAAACAGGTACTCCATGTGTCTGGGGTCTAAAAGGAATCAGGACAAAGGAATTAGGCAGTTATTGTAATGAAATTCATTGAGCAGGGCAATAAACAGTTGACTGCTCTTTATCTTACTTTTGTTTATCTTTTTTGTGATTTTTTTTTTTTTTTGAGAAAGTATCTTTATGAAAGGATTTGTGAGGGTCTTTTTGTAAGTATGTGTATGTTCTTGGAGTCTAGGGAGGAGAATAATATTGAAATGGTTGGATGACTAGTAGAAGAAAGAAATGACATTTACGAATTTGAACAGCGTGGTGCTGCGGGTTAATGGGCTGGACTGCAAGGCCGGTGTGAACCCCAGTTGGTTGAAGCTCAGCTAATCCTCAGAAACCCTATAATACAGGATTGCTTTGAGTTGGGAACTAATCGATGGCACTTAACAACAACATTGTAAAAATGGAATTTTCTTTTTAGTTTAGTTTGCATTTTGTATTGCTATGGATGGTCCTTGTTTTAAATGAATTTAAGACGTAAAATTTTAGGTTATTAAATTATTTGCTTTGCCAAGATATCCATTATAGAATTCTTTAAATCTTTCCATTCAGATTATTTTCCAGGCAAAATAATAAACCAAACACCAAACCCATTGCTGTTGAATCGATTCCAACTCATAGTGACCCCTATGTTGTTGGTGTTAA